TAACAGCAGCAATTTACTAAGTGAACTACTTCAAATGCATGTTAGTATATGGACTTTACTCATGAAGATTTGCACTCTTTCAGTAGACATTTCTTAGACATTTGTATAGAATTTAATGACTTGTGATGATATAAATAGAATGCAATTTACCCAACCAAATACACAATTTAGGAATATAATAGGCTTAATTCTGATTAATTCAATTCAGAGGTTCATTTTGCGCAACTCAACAGATGAGAAAATTTAGTGAAGGGTCACACTTGAGCCAGAATAACACTAAGAAATTATTTTATAAGATCTGTTTGCTCCTTTTGGATTTATGATATTCTATTGGGTAAAAAAAAAATAATTTGCTTTGTTTCTCAGCATGTTTTGACTAAGTTGGACATACACTTCAAACATCTTTCTTGTATCGTGCAAACACTCTGACTTTAATACAAGTATTGAATTTTACTTCAAAGCTGTCTTTCATTAGCTACGGTGATGTTTAATTGCAGTAATAAAATCAGTGGAAATATTTTTAACAATGTGATCTTTTAAATTAGCTTCCTAGAGATTATTAAAACTCGTAGTTGAGAAAATAACTACTAAAAAAACAGTAAGCAAAATTAAACATTATCAAGAACTTAGAACAAAACTTCTGCAAGTATTACTAAGCAACAAAGTAAAGGAAACTTTTTCAAGGATGCCATCTAACCTCCAACGGTCAGCGTCAGAAGCAGTGCGAGAAAATCCCGAACTCTGAGAAGTTAAATGTAAAACTTCACAACGTAGACCAAAAAAGAGTTTAAGGAAACGATCACACCAATTGCTACCATTTCAAAGTAACTATGCACTATGTCACAGACAGTGAGATATACAGAAAAATGTATCTCATTTACATATATAATTAGCTAGTTCATGTTCCAGTGAAACACAGAAAGATTTATACCAATCCAATTTAAACAGTAAAAAAAAAAAACGACAAACGTATCCAAAAGCACTGATTGCCAGGAGAATCTTTTGCACTAAGAATTTACTTGGGTCAGAGCTTTGCTTCAGATATAGGATGGAGAAATTCCGCGCAGCAGGGTACACGGTCACTTAATGCACATTGATGGCTTCTACACCAGCCAGAGTAGTTTTGTGTTTTCTTTCCCTGAAAGTAATCCTCATTATCCTGCTCAACAACATCATGGATGTGCGTTTTTGTAAAATGCATGTAAATCTATCAATCAATATCACTTTCACTCTTCACCCTTTTACCTGCCTATTCATGTTCATCTGTAGATCGGATCATCTTTTTTGATGCATGAATCTTGCTCACAGCAAAACTAAAAGTAAACACAATTATACGACTGAAATTATATTACGAGCTACAGGCAGTGAGTGACCCACTCATGAAAGTTAATACTTGCCTTTTCGGTGTGGAAATAATACTGTCAATGTTCAATATGCAATCCTTAATGTGCAATGTTATAGAAGTATAAACTTTGAAGATTAAAAGCAAGTAGATATTGTTAAAAGGATGTCCCAGAAGTAGCTCAGGAAGCATACAGCAACATTAGGTTAGAACAGATGAGAGAATGAATAGACCAGGCACGGAATAATCATTAACCTTGGGAATATTAGGTAGGCAAATCTTGCTGTCATTAACATCCATCAATACAACAGTATTAGAACTCTTTTTTTCAATGTCTCTATAAAAAGATCAATTTCATGCTAGACTCTCTTCAGAGGAGGAAATAAAAGTTCAGCTATCACATAACATACAATATTCAAAGAAATGTAGCTTAATATGAAATGCCTCTAATATAAATCATTTTATATTATATACAAAGAAATATATTTAAATTATATACAAAGAAATGTAGCTTAATATGAAAATGCCTCTAATATAAATCATTTAGTCTTCAATAGGCCTTCTAGGAATAAGTGAAAAGCTTTTGTGTGTACACTGTATGAAATTATTAAAAATACAAGTGTAATAAATCCCAAGAAAAAGTAGAATACTGGACTCAGTTCAACCACTGTAACTCCTTTTTTAATCTTGATATACATGCCTTTTCCCAGATTATTAATTCAAAGTAAGTATCAGCAGTGCAGAAAACTGTGATATAAGCAACATATAAAAAATTTAAACCACAAATTTAAACATAATAGGTTCTGATCATCATTTTCCTCCCAGAAATTAGATCCTAGCATATACATCTTACCCAAATTACGTCAGTGATGCTTCACGAAGACCATTTAACATGTGGACAATTTTGCAGAACCTGCATCTCACTAATTTGGCTAATTGTAAGAACAGTAATAGGAACTGATGAATGCTAGGAATTTTTTATGCAATACTCACAGTTTTTTAAAAAGTTTTTTTTTTTAAATGGAAAACAAATACATGTTTTTTAATAAAGAGAGAGTTGCTAGCTGTGGTACTTCCAACAGCTGTGATTTATACTTATTCCAATCAGCTGTCCAGATCCTCATATGGAAGATACTGTCTTTTTCACTGCTGTATTTATTAGAAATATCTACAAATATCACAAAGAAAAGATGACCTCAGTAATGGAATCGAACATTTTCAAACAGCACCTATAATCAGTTAATGCTCTTTTAATTCATCTTGTCTACTTATTTCAATACTCAGCAGTAAAAGTTAAGAGAGTGAACTTTCAAAAGCTGAAGACACCAGTCCACATCTTGTTTGTTATACAGCCATACAGGTTTACAAAGTTCATGCACCTCAACCCTTTATTATCACCTACTCAGCTGAGATATGTCTAGCAAAAACATGGCTTGTTTCCGTGCAAAATAAAAGAAGTCGGTATAAAATAATAATTAATCAGACCTTTTTCATGTTACATTAAGAACGTTCTCTACAATTTGATTGTGCTTCTTTTTTAACATCTAAAATATATTTCCATTTTCATATTCTGAAACAACAAGTAGAATGTAGCATGGTTGTTCTTGCAAACATGATTGATGATGCTGAAAGTTTTCCAGGGAATTTAGTGATGCCTGATCCTACCCAATTATTGAATTGTCAAGAGTCTTCTTATTTGAATTTCTATGTAAGTATAACTGAGAAACCTGTCCTTTTTGTAACTTCATATTAAAAGTTTTCAAGCAAATGAGTGAGTAAATCCAAAAGGCTTTAATCATATAGTCCTTCCTTAAGGAAACTCAAATGTCACCCGATTAGGCCCAATATATTTTAGTTAAACTGTACAGTTGTCGTAAAGTCTGTAAACACCTACTCACACGAGTTGGACAAATGAAGACAACGTCATGACCGTTTCAACACTTTCTTTATTCATTTTTCCGTCAAGTAACTAAAACTTTAGTTAAAAAAAAAAAAGTCAGAGCCTGAGATAGTCAACACAGATCAAAACCAGCTTTAGTTAAATGAAAACTACTATGAACAGCCTATTGTTTTATCCTCCCACCCCATTTCTATTCTCAGAAAAGTACCTGCATTCCTGGGATTGTCAATTTAATACAGTATTTGGTAACACTACAAAGGCATCCAGCCATGTGTGAATTGCAGCCTGACAAATAAATGGATCTACAAATGTTATCACATTAGAATCTCTTGAATATCATCCTTTTTTACTTCTTTGTAGTCTGGCTCGTCACTAATGGTGCAAGTCTAATTCCTCTCTCTTTATCTTCCAACTTTTCTGAACAGCACATTCTTCAGTTCCTGTTTTCCAGCGATACTGCTTTTCTACCTAGTTTTTATCTATACTGCAATTAGTCCCAGTTGTATTAATATACTAAAATTGGGACATATCTTTTTGCTATGGGACATATCTATTTGCTATATCTTTTGCTATCCTGTCCCACGACAGTACTTTACCTATTTTTATATTCTCCTTACTTAATTTCTTCCTCTTCTCCATCTAGAGGGATTAGCATTATGGTCCTTCTGTTGTTATTACCTGGTTCAAAATGGTAATTAGTCATATCAGCCTGATCACACAGGGCTGCTATTTCAGCTGAGCAAACAGACCTATTCAAAAAGAGTCCCCTTTCAAGGAATGCAAACAGACCTGTTTGAATAGTCTTTCAAGGAATGCTTCCTTCAAACATCTCAAAATCCTCCCAATAATAGCTATCTTGAGAACCATGCATTCTTCGTTATTTTCACAATGATAAGAATACCGTATTAGAGTTTATCTCAGCCTCAGTTTCTTCAAACATCTTTCCTATTTAGCTTGGTGCAGTCACCTTCAACCTGTTTCATCAGAATTCGAAGTTATCACTTATCCTGACACAAAGAACAATCAGAGGACTCCATGCCAATATCATCAGGATGTTTGTACTGCAAGGTTACATCCCAGATTCTGACAAGCTACGTACACTTATTTCAAAAACTTCTCATAAACAGCCTCTCTACTTTTATTAAGGGTTCACAATCTCTTAGAGGTCTTAGATGTTTAGCTGAATCTCTGTTCATCTTTCATTCTTTCTTCTAGGTTAGATCATAAAGTCTTC